AGAAAAATATCAATAGCAAGTCTTTATCGCTAGATAAATAATGAATTATGCCTAAAACATGTGTTGATGGATAGGCTTTGTATGTTCTACATTCCATGTGATCTGGTCGTTCATTATTTAAATCTTTGCCAAGACAAACAATATCATTCTCTGTATATGGATGATCGCCAGTTTTAACTGAGTCTAGTTCTTTACTAATACCACCTGCTAGTGCAATGCAACGTTGATCATTTAATCCAAATTTATCCGCATATGCCAAATGCAGATTACTTAGTCGACCAATATTGTCTTGTTCACAAATATTTAGCACTACATTAATAATATCATTTTTTGTGATTGCGCGACCTAATTTTTTAAGTTTAATATCATCATCATAGTCATATGGTAATGGATTTTTGGTAAAAAACGGTACTAGATCTTCACACCAAATAACTGTATACTCGTCCCCATCAAGATCAGATCCAGCAATTTCATTCGGATGCGATCTTGGTCCTTTTGCTGGAAATACAATACAATCTTTTATATGTTGTAATTCTTTGCAGTTAACTGCGTCAAATGTTCGTAAATCCCCTGGATGATGACAGGGATTCTTCGTGACAACAACTTTTTGATTGTTTAGTATTGTTGTTTCCAATGAATTCATACTTGAAAACTGAATAAATACCTGGCCATACTCAAGAACCCCATACTCGTCGACAACTCCGTACATATATCGTGCTTTTGATTTATCAACTTGAATATGTGCGCGGTTTCTTAAACTATGAATATCACTTAAACAACAATTAAGAATAATTTGACGAAAAAATGATTCGTGACATAGATTTGAAAATGTGGTTAAATTTTGTAACGAAAATACATGTATGAGTTTTTCGTTCAATAATTCAATAGCTGATGATGTATTTATTAAAGCTTTTATTAAGCATAGAATATGCTTGTTTTGTAAAGTAAGCAGTACTGCATCGGGAATCAGACGATTTGACAATAACATAATGCTTTGTTTATTCAAATATAATCGACCTGAAATTTAACTGTATATCGGTACTGTTGTAGAGAGAAGATATAACTGAATTAAATGCTTACGTGGAATCGATATTTTGCATATTTCAAGCGTATCGTGATTACTAATGAACTTTCTCATACTTGTACGAAGTATCAATTGTTTTTCTTGGCCATCCAGTGCAGGATCACTTGTTACTACACCCTTACATCCAGCATACCGTATTTGTAAAACACTTGACTGTTGACCCTTTCTTTGAAGAGTTTTATGGATCTACATAAGAACAAAAATACAATCTTGTAGATCCTCGTTTTTCTCTTTGATGTAAAATTAGTGCGGGAGTATGGAGGTTTTTAGAAATGTTTTCTGAAAACCTTGAAAAGCTGTCTTTTCGAAAAGGTTTTTACTTTCGAATTAAA